AGGGGCTGTACAAGGTGGGCCTGCCCCCACTCTGGGCAGGGCCCAGGGTGGAGGGAAGTGTGGGCACAGCAAGGCGTGGGCACAGCAAGGTGTGGACGCAGCGAGGTGTGGGCACAGGGAGGTGGGGGCACAGCGGGGTGTGGGTGCAGGGAGGTGCGGGTGCAGCGGGGTGCGGGCACAGGGAGGTGTGGGCGCAGGGAGGTGCGGGTGCAGCGGGGTGCGGGCACAGGGAGGTGTGGGCGCAGCGAGGTGTGGACGCAGCGAGGTGTGGGCACAGGGAGGTGCGGCCGCAGCGGGGTGCGGGCGCAGCGGGGTGCGGGTGCAGTGGGGTGCGGGTGCAGCGAGGGGATTAGGAGGAGCCAGCAGCCCGAAGGGCCTGGACAGGAGAGGGAGCCAGACAGACCAAGAGGCAGAGAGGAACAGGAGGGACGAGGACAGAGGTGGCCAGGAAGAGCCCGAGAGAAAAGCCTCTGATGGACGGGGGCGGGAGGGTCTGTGTGCCCCGGGGATGCTACAGATGGTTCTGGGGATGGACCCTGAGGGACTGCACCCAGGCCTGACCCCTCTCCTCTCCCAGCACTAAGCTGGTGAGTCGAGGTGCTGGCCTGGGCCCTGTGCTGAGGGTCGTGCTGCCCACCTCTCCTAGAAGGAGTCCCCGTAGGAGCTAAGGCCCAGTGGTCATTGGAGTTAGAGGTCAGGATAGGGTGGTGTCACGGGTATTTCCCACCCCTGGTCTCTGCTGTGCTGGGCGGTATGGGGCCAGGCTGTAGGGGAGCCAAGTGGCCTTGCCTCCCTCCACTCCAGCCCCACTTCTTCGGGCCCCTTCACCAGTTTGTAGACACCCCGGGGAACTTGCCTCCGTCCATGAACCTGTCTCACCTTCTTGGCCTCAAGAAGAACATCAGCTTCCTCACGGCCTATCAGTGAGTGGGAACCTGGGCTGGGGTGTGAGGGGGGGCCGGTGCCCAGGAGCAGAGGCCGGCATGCCGCCCCCACCCACTCCCCGTCCCTGCTAATCTTGGCTGCCCATCACTCTTCCCCAGGCAGTGCAAGGAAGGGGCTGTTCTCTGGAATGTCCTGCAGCTCAACGACTCCTATGACCTGGAGAAGCACCTGGATATCAGCCAGGTAGGGGGACTTCTGGAAGGCTGTAGGGCGCCCTCCTGCAGACCCCCCCACCCCCCGGCCTTGCCTCTGTGGAGACATGGCTCCTTGACTCCAAGAAGCCTTCAAGTCCAGTGGCCGTGCCTCAGGGGCAGAGGCCCGAGCCACAGGCTCAGAGCCTGGCCCGGGGCTAGTGTCCAGGGAAGGTTCCAGGTGTGTGGGCAGGTGGGCGAGTGCCTGGAGGCTGTGGCCAGCTCTGAGCACTGTGCCCCGGGGGAGAAAGCACAGCTGAGGTAGTAGCAAGACAGGATGGTGACAATGAGTGAGGGGACAGGGTGTTCTGACTGAGATGAGTGTCAGGTGGAGAGTGGGGTGCCCAGGAAGGGTGTGGCAGTGATAACGGTGGTGAGGACGTTGGGGGATGATCCTAGAGGGCTCACCACAGGCCCCTTGCTAAAGTCACATGCCACCCCACCCAGCCTGACTCCGGAACCTGTTCTCTTAACCACTGGACTTTCCCAGAAGGTGGTGTGTGGTGCTGGAGAAACTTGTCAATGCTGGCTGGAAACAGTTCTGGGCCAAAGAAAAGGAAGAGCCACTTCCCAAGAGGGGACATACTCTGAGAATGTGGCTGTTCTAGGGGTGCACCCCTCACCCAGGGGAGCAGCTCTGGGTCCTGGCTCGGTGACCAGGCCTGGCCCTGTCCCCTCTCTCCCAGTATACCACCAAGCTGCAGCAGGAATTGCAGGGCCTCAAGGTGGCCGTGCAGGACGTGGACCTGCTGAGCCCTGCCGCCCGCCGGGACCTGGATGCCCTGCAGAGCAGTGGGCTGGAGAAGATCCACTACCAAGGCTTTCTCGCTCAGGTCCGAAGTGGGCACCTCAGGTGCCCCAGCCAGGCGCAGGCAGGACAGAGGGGTGTACAGAGGAGTTGAGTGTGCTTTGCACTGACCTCGACTTTTCCTCCATTCCTGTGTCCTGGGACACCAGGCTCCCAGCCCACAGGGGTCTTCCTGTTGGGAGTGTCCCCAGACCACGTGGCACCACCGCTGGGTCTGGCAGGAATGAACGTGCCCCAACCCGACAGCATGTGTCGCTGTTCCTGGTCCTGAACCCACTGCTGCAGAGAAGTCTGGGGGAGTCTCCTACCTCCTTGTTGACTTACACCAGGGGGCGCCTCATTTTTTTTTTTTTTTCCCATCATGATGGAAAACGTCTGCTGTGTTTCACAGTTCCAGGTCAAACCCACTGTGAGGGATGTGTCACTACAGACTTAGCCGTCGTGGGGTACTTTTGACAAGACTGGAAATTTGGGGGCTGAGGGTAGGCAGAGGTGGGGGCTGGGGGAGTGAGATTCATTCCAGCATGGTCTCTCCTGTGTGCCCCCAGACCCAGAAGCCCATGGTGAAAACCGACATAGAGAAGCTGACAGAGAATCTGGAAGAACTGGCCCAGGCCCAGGTGAGAGGGAACAGAGAGCCCAGTGGGAGGGGAGGAGTCAGAGGGAGGCCTGGGAGGCTGGAGACAGTGGGGGCGCTTGGATTAGGGAGGGGGCAAGGGCAAGGGCAGGGGACCGAGGGCCCCCCACCAGAGAGGGCTGAGGCTCCTAACCTCACGAGGACTTGAGGGTCTCGCAGCATCCGTTCTGACACAGGTTCTGCCACCCACGGGTTGTATGGTGAGCAGAGCCCCCACCACCTCTGGGCCTTGGTTTCTTCGTCTGTAAAAGAGAATAGGGAGTGGTTAACGTGCGCAGCTGCTAACTGGAAGGCTGGTGGTCTGAGCCCACCCGGAGGCACCTCAGAAGAAAGGCCTGGTGATCTAATTCTGAAAAATCAGCCATTAAAAATGCTGTGGAGCACAGTGGTACTCTGACACATGTGGGGGTGTCAGGTGTCAGGACTGACTCGAGGGGAACTGGCTTTTTTAAAGTGGAACACCTTCTGCCTGAGGACTGTGCGGCTCTGATGAAGGAACAGCCCGATGCTGGGCACTTGGACAAGCACTGCTAAGTGTACGCTGCTTATGGGTTGCGCTGGGACAGGCGCTGTGAGGACAGAGCGATGAATCATACAACAGGACGGTTGCTTCGAGGAGCTTAAACTCTACCAGGAAAAAATAGCATTTTGAATTTATAAATGTTTGGAGTTTTGAAAGTTCTCTCCGAGACATCACATAGGCTGCCCCTACCCCAATAACAGCCCTGCGTGGCTGGTAGAGCAAGGAGCATTCTGCAGTTCCAGCAGGTGGCGCTGCATCTGAGACAGGCTCTAGAGCTGATGCAGTGGTGCCCAGCAGGCCAGGGCTGGAGGTTGGGTGTAGGCTTCCACACCCGGAGTCCAGGCTCTGGAGTTGCCCCAGCTTTCTGCCTCTGAACCCCGTACTTCCCACGTTGCCTCAGCATGTCTGGGAAAGGCTGGGTACAGGATCCATTGGCAAAGCCTGGCGTGCCCTGGGGAGGGTGCCATTCTGATCTCTGTCCCTCCCCACCCCCACCCAAGGATGATGCTGCATTGGGGCAGCAGCTGCAGGAGGAGGTCCGAGTGCTCAGAAGTCTCTATCAGGAGAGGGTCCAACCCCAGCAGACCCTTGTGGTGAGTTTGGGGGTTCAAGGAGCCCAGTAGTGGTGCAAACGGTTTGCACTCAACTACTAACCTAAAGGTTGGTAGTTCAGACCCATCAGGCAGTGCCTCAGAAGAAAGTCCTGGTGATCTGCTTTGGTAAAAGATTACAGCCAATAAAACCCTATGGAGCAGTTCTACCTTGTAACACAGGGGGGTTCACCATGAGTCAGAGTCGACTTGATGGCAATGAGTTTTTTTGTTGTTGTTTGAGGGAGAGAAGAGACAGGGGTCAGCGAGAGAAGAGTGGGCACCAGAGAACCTCTCTCTCCCTACCCATCTCTCCTCTAACCATCCCTGGTCTCTCTCTGCAGGCGAAGCTCAAAGGCAGTGTCAGGGCCCTGGTGTCCTCCGCCCCAAATCTCCAGGTGGCTGCTGAGGGAGGGGGATGGGTGGGGTGGGAGGAAGTGGGCCTGGTCTCTGCCACCACGGGCAGCAGGAGGCAGGAAGGCAGGGCCTAGCTGGCTGGGGACCTCGACTGCTCTGCCCAGACCCGCTGGAAGTTGAGAGTAGGGATGGGAAGAAGATGGGGGCGGGCGGGCAGATGGGTGAGGGCCACCATCTTTGGCCTCTGTGTCCAGGTCCTAGCCTCACCCCCTAATGAGCATGTCGTGGGTTGTTTGTTGAGTTTGTGAGTGGCTGAACGAACGAGGGGTGCTCCCTGACTGAGCAGGGCCCTGAGTTGAGCCCCTCTCCTCTCCCCCAGCTGGAGACTAAAGGCATCCTGGACAAGGCCACTTACCTGAAAGGGGAGCTGCCTGCCTGGGCCACCCGCGTCCTGAGGAATGTGAGTGGACACGGGTGGGAAAGGCCAGTGGCTGCCTCAGATCTGGAGGCAGGTGGGGGGCTGAGGTACACGGAGCCGCCACCTCCAGCCCTGCTCCCTCCCCGTGGCTCCCCGAAAGCCGTTCCGCCTGTCCTGAAAGTGCCAGGCACGGGGGTGGGGGGCAGTGCTGGTTTCTGGGCCCCTGTCAGCCCAGGCCTCCTTTTTGCCCTGCAGGAAAGCGAGTGCTACCTGACCCGGGAGATGGGCTACTTCTCCCAGTACCTGGCCTGGCTGAGAGAGGAGGTGAGAGGACCTGCCTGTCCTCCAGACAACTACTGATCGCCTACCTCCGGTGGCACCAGATCTGCCCTTGCCTGCCTCCTAGAAGTCCTTAGGTGTGCTCCAGGCCTTCAGGACTGAACCTGAACTCCCAAACCTGGCATCTGAACCCCCTGCTTGCTGGCTGGGCTCTGCCCGCCCAGTCTCTGCCTCTGCCCCTCTGTGAGGCCTGAGAGTGAGCTGGGCTGTCCTTGGGTCTCTAGAACACGCTGTCTTCACCTTGCCCCATGCCTTCCTGGGCCGGCCCCCTTGCACAGCTTGTCTGAGGCCAACCCAGCCCTCAGATTCTGCCTCCTCCCTTGCTGACCAAGCCTCTGGAAGGTGTCTGGGCACCCACACTGGGCCTGCAGGGAGTCTTGCTTAACCTGAGTGTGTGTGTGTGTGTGTGTG